GTTAAGTTGATTCGTAATAAACCCATGATGATAAATCAGATACAATGAATATATGAAGTTCATATATTTTGAACTGTGGTATGATTTTCGCTATTGCATAAATAGTGCTATCTACTGCGAAGGATCGTGCATCATACGTATTTAATACCGCAGTTCAAAATATATGAACTTCATATATTCATTGTAAACCCTAAACTGTTTAACAAATTCTCCTTGTTGGCACCTTTGGAAATATATTGAGAACAGTATGGAGAATATGCATACTAATAACACAAAATGCATCACACAATTCACTCACAGAGCCTTTCTGGTATCCCTGTATGTTCTTATCCAAGGATGTGCCCACTTTCCAAGAGTCCATCCTTCTGGTAACCACAGTGTTACTGAGCCTTCCATCATTGTACCATTGGCACAGGCAGCATTCTCTTTCTTACAGAAGTAGCACTGGCCATAGAAGCAAGTATTTCCATCTGAAAGAAAATCAACAATCATCACATCAATGGGATTTATTTAAGCTAATTAAGATGTTCAGTTGTAGAGTGTTAACTCTTCTGCGATTAACTGACTTTTATTCATGGATCATAAAAAAAACAAGACATGTATATATTAAGATTCTGCTCTCAGTTTCTTTGATTATCATCCATTAAAAACTGCTTTACCCTTCTTAAAAAATGTGTCCATAAGCCGCTTGTGTCCAATTGGTTCAATTTCATCTTCTAAGTTAATTTTTCTTCCAACAACTGGTGGTGCACGGTAGAAACCTAAAATTCTTCAAGGAGAGATTGGTAGAGAAAAATCAATGTTATGACTGTTATCTGAACTGAATTCCAAAATAAAAAGAAAATAAAACCACCACCAAAACTCCATTTCCACTTGAATAAAAACTAAATACCTTGTACAGTTTAATAATTATTATGATGGTAATAATGATAAAATAACATAACAATTCATAATCATCACGATTGAAATATTTATTGTTATTAATAATAATTGAAATTATTACAACCATAACTGTCAATTATTCTTGTGATCACCATCATTCATTTATTTACTCACTTTTGAGATTTTTTTTTTTTTTAACATAATTTTGCATGAAAAAGTATATTTAGTCTTGAAGTTTTGTGCTTGTGTCCAAGATGGGTAGCATGAGATTGACACTTCAGTATAAAGTATATTTAAAAAGGTGTGTTTTTAATGGATGATGAGCCAAAATCTGGTTGTCTGGCAACAATTAGATTGATTGAGGTCACAAGCAGAGTAACCATATGAATCAAGGAGGTGTATTTATATATCTTATTAACCAAGCGCGAGGGTCATGCTGGGAGAATATCGGCCCGAGGTCTTGACAGTACGGACCAAGCGCAGCAAGGTCCGTACAAAATAGACCGAGGGCCGATATTCTTCCAGTACAGTCCTGAGCAAGCTTGGTTAATAAGAGATTTATTATACAACTGAAGTTCAAAGGGACACAAGTGTGGTATCATTCGGGACCATTCGGGAAAGTGCCCGGTCCAATACTTAGAGAATATTGGACTGGCAATAGAGCATTTTGATTGGTTGATTTTAGTTATTGGTCCTCTGACTGCCCGAGTCGTGTAATAAATAGGGCTTATTGTCATGGCATTCCATAAAACTGTTATCATGTACCTATCCAGATGAAATGCAGCAATCTCTCCATTGTGTCTGTCAAAACCAGCATATGGAGTTCCCTCTACTATAAAATCTCTAGGGTACCTGTTTAAAAATATTACTTGTATGTCAATCTGGCTCTATTTTATTTAGCCTGGGCCTATTTCAGGTAACAATGAAAATAAATTTGGTTTAATCAACTGAGTTTATCATGTAAATTGGCCTGACCGTAAAGAGTTAAAAGCTTAAATTTCAAGCGTTAGCCCTTCCTCTGGTGTTAGCTTTTAAACATTACAATAGCCAATTTATATTTTAACTCAATTCATAAAACCAAAATTATCTTGCTATACTCTCCCACTGACACAGCACCACAGTTTCTTTAGAAACTTACCCCCTTCATTCATTTCTATTTTAGGTAATACTTTCAATATCTAAGGGAATATTTAGCCTAAGTACATATACCTGTCTTTATTAACACTTAATTGAGGAACTCACTACATTAATGCAAATTAGTTTGTCTACTGACGTTTGGTTGTGTTGGTGTGGTTCCAATCAATGCATCGACTGATGCATTGGGCAAAACATCAGTTGAAGTGCATTCAGTACTGTCCTCCATAAATTAAAATAAACAACAAAAAAATGTATACAAGTATAAGCAATAATTTTAAGGTGATTGAAGTCCTTTTCTGTAGATCTTAAAATTATATGTACACAATTTGTACTTAAATAATAAGTATATAACATTGCTATTCATTTGTAGGTGATGTGTGATGCTTTAAAAGTTCATCCTTAATTTCTAAAAATTTGGCCAATACAAGTAATGTGGGATGATTACCCAGCCTTGGGATAACTATGGTGTCCCTGATCTCTAGCTGTATTTGATCAAGGCTGGCAGGTGATAACATTGTTGGTCATAGCCATGCAAAATTTGCCCAATGTTAAACTTTGATAGAATCGTTAGTGTCTGAAAAAGAACCTGATTACCGTTATAGTTCTACACTTTATCCTCCACTGCCATAGAGATACACAAGGTGATCAGAGTCAACCAAACTTTTGCAGTCAGATGCTCAAACATTTTTCATTCAAATCACAGACCATGTTGGAGAAAGGACCCACTGGCCCCTCAACTCTATAAGTCAGGAGCTATTTTAGTGTGTTGTGGCCCTAGACAGCGCTATATCAAAAGGACACTTCGGAGATATTGTACTAACATCATTTGAAATTGTAATTTGTTAAGGGTTACATTGTCACTTGAGGGAGGCACCTCACAACAAAAACATTTGATTTAAGAGACATCTCGAGTTCGTGAATGGTTTTCATAATTATAATTATAAAATCCCATAAAGCTTTGCGCTCTTACCGCATTGGCTTGAAAACTACTTTCTGTCTTCCCTCAAGAGTTAGAGTAGCTTTTAACTGTGTCCCTCTGTAGCCAACGCCGGCTGCCACAATCGGTTTATACATCATTGCCTCTAGTATCATGTTCACCCCATCTGCATCATCTGGCGAAGTTATCTGTCGCGACTTTACCATGCTTTCCCATATTGACCAGGGGTCATCCAATTCGTAGTCTATATCGTTATTTTTTCCAATATTTCTCTCTACCTTCTTTTCACCGACCCTTTCCCCATTATTTGTATCTGTATGTACGGATCTTTTTTCTAGTGAACGATCCACATCTTTAGAGACACGATTCGTTTTGAGATGATTTGTTCCTTCCTCTGATTGTTGTATATTGACATGAGAATGGTCGATTCCGTTATAATCCGTTTCATCCGTAAGAAATCGTGAATTCTGATTACTAACAGTAAACGACAATGGATGCTTTTTGTCCGCCACGCGCATTCGTAACCAAATAAAAGGGATTACGAGGAGAACAATGCACACACAAAATCCAAAACGTTCTTTGAACTTCATTGTTCCAAAATATACTCGGTAAAAGACGGATAAAGGCCAAAGTTCCAACATTTTTTAAGAGCCATTAATCATCGTGTCGATAGTTCCTTTCATTTTGGTACGATTTCTACCAGGCGTACACCAGGCATAATGCATTAGTAATTCATCAGCCAACTGAGCCCGCACTGTTCAGTAACTCTTTAATCTATGGAGAACAAGAACAAATTAAATACGCATTCATCTTACCAATCACTTAATGATACACATTTAAAGTTATATGGTAAAGTAAATGTAATTTTTTTATTCATACTGGATTTCCCGAAATGAAAGAGGTACATATTTGTTTAAATGTTTTAGAAAATTTTATACTATATTGTCCTCGTTCCCAGAACACTCTTTTAATCTTTGCTTAGCGGATATCTCTGGAAGACTAGGTTACATGATTACAATCAAAATGGCGGACAAAGTGAAGAGCATCGATGAATGCATTTTAGCTGCAAACAACTTGAGAACGACCGTGAAAAAAGTATTTCAAGATCTTGCAGCTTCTCCTGGAGTGAAAAGAGAAAAAGCAGAATCTACTGAGACTAGCAAGGGAGAAAATATCACCCGACTTTTAAAGAAGAATCTCACTGAAGTTCACAAGGTTTTAAGGTACTATACACGGCTAGTTAAAATCAATTTATACCAGTGATTTGCAACTGCTTCTGGAATAATGATTATATACCATACAGAATTTCTTATATTTTTTACAAACGGAAAGTTGAAAAACAAAACAAAACAAAAACAGAAAAACAGACATAATTATTAAACTAAGCTATTAGGTAACTTTTACTTTTCCTTGAATCTGTTGAGTGTGAGAAACTCAGCACCATGGTCAAATGGCGGGCATACACGAGGGGATCAATTGAAACACAAGATTCTTTATAAAGAAAGAAGGGGAAACGCTATAACCACTCAAGAATCGCAATATATACAGATTTAGACAGAACTATCGTGATTTGGGTTAATTAATTCATGATTTCCGAAATTATAGATCATTATCCTGTTTATAAAACTTAGAATAAGATTTAACTTCTTAGATTAAAACAAAGGCACAAAGAAAGAAACAAATCCCAAAATGACAATGATTTTTATAACAAGAAATTTTGGCATTTTTGTACCTCTTAAGATGAGGAAATTAACCTACTTTAACTTACAGTACAAAAAATGCACTGGTACATTTTTTGTCTAAAATCAAGAAATACAAAAGCCACAAACAAGGGAATTTAACAATGGAATTATGGGAATAAGAAAATTCAGCCTTGTCAGAGCACACATGCCTAACTAACCATATAATTGGGTGGCATAATTCTAAAATTATCACCACTAATCAGTGTTACCACCAGTGCCTTTGTTTGGAAGCAAGGCATATTAATTCCACCCATGCTCTTTGAAATCGTGATGATGGAGACTTTTTACCTGATGCCTATTTACTCTTGGTCTGAAGAAAGGGCTGCTATTATTAGTGAGCATATAAAAGGACCTTTTGTTTGCAATGATTAGATCACCCTTGATAAAGGCACTAGACAGGATTGTTAAAAAATGCTAGTTAGATGAATTATAATTTCCAAGTTACAGTCATTAAATCCTTAAACCAGAATAGTATCAAACAATGTCTTATTGTCCACCTGATTGTCTCATGAACTTTAACCCTTTACTCCTATGAGTGACCAAGACAGAATTTCTCCTTACAATATCAATACGATGTCAAGCAGACAAGTGATGAGAAGAAAGAAAAATATCAATGAGGGGATAAGTAGTTGATCCAATACCAAATTCTCCAAACTAATGTCATAAGAATTGTATGGCAGACAGTAAGGAGAATTACTAAATGAGATCTTGGGTGTGAAAGGGTCAATATATCTGCTCACTGTCCTTAGAAACTGGGGTTTAAGGGTGAAACTTAAGAATTTACATGATATTTGACAGTTCTTGTCCATCTTCAGTTTACTGGTAAATGAGTACTATTGATAAAGTTGATTTGATTGCAGAAGATTACACAGAATGCTGGAATTTTTTTATTTGCCATATTTAAATTTGGCCATATTTTGATTAATTTTGCTAGTGAGCTGGATAAAACATGTGAAGGTCTTCCAACATCATCAAGTGGTTCTCTTTCTTTGGGAAATACAGGATTATTAAGCTTGGATCCTATTGAAGACAAGACTGCTCTGTATGACAAGGTTCTAGACACATATGACTGGCATGAGAAGGTATTCACTAATGATATTTCACTAATGATGCATACAGGCTTTAACTTCATATTATCACAGTACAAGATCAGAGAAATGAAAGTTATCCCTTTAAATAAAGAGAGACATTAAATTAAGTTGTTTAGTTTTGTTTTGTCTTGGTATCATACAGTCTTAAAAGTTACAGATTGTGCCAAGTGAAGATCAAATAGAGCTCATTCAAAGTCACATCAGTCTTTTGATCAATAAATGCCTCTGTAGTAAAATTCTTTCAGAAAATTCATGCCATGCAGGTACATGTCTGTAATCTCTGACAGGACTATGAGAATCAACATTTTTTTTTTTTTTTTTTTTTTTTTTTTTTTTACGTGTTAGCTGACCTTAGAGGCTCAACAGGCATTATCATGTTTGAAAAGACATCATCCCTTACAAAGCTTGGATCGTTCTTCACCATCTCCAAAGAAGGCAAAGACAAACTCAAGAGAATTCCTAATTGGGTAAATGATTTATTAGATGGTTTCACATTTCACTTTAATTTCCAAGAGACCAATTAGAACATGATGGTAGTGTAGTGATAATTGATCGAGTCATATTTGTTGGCAGGTGAAAAGCTCTGCAACATTAGTTTTTTAGACATATTTTTGACTAGTTGATTTCTCCCAATGTTGCAGGGAAATTCAAAAAGCTTTTAATGAGTGCAAGTCTTTGTATCCTTGCTTGGAGCTTTCAACATCAATGGCACATGGAGCTCTTGTTGTTGAGGTTTGATAAGTTTTGTATTCCAGCCTATGATAAAACAGTTACTTGGAAGTGTTGTGGTCAATTTGCATCTACAGTAATTTGTTGAAAGAGGAGATTAAAACTTACCATATTAATATTCTTGAATGCGTATGTATGCATGCATGCTTGTGTGCATGTGTGTGTGTGTGTGCATGTGTGCGTGCATGCATGTGTGTGCTTGTGACACTTGGTTGAAACACAGTTCTAGCATGTGAAAAAGCAGAACTTTTCTGATGTTCTTTACAAGGAAGTGGTACTGAATGAAATGCAAGTATATCTCTGATAATATTTACCAGGTTGTTGTACCAAAGACACTAAAAGCAACAATGGTTCTACGCAATATGTCAGAGATTGAGCAAGTCATAATAAGAGGAATACAGGAAAGCAAGCTCTTGGATAAGGAGGTGATTAGTTGATTAACCTTGAACCCTTTTGCATCCAAGATCTCATCAGGAGTTATCCTTATTGTCTGCCATGCAAATCTTATGATAGGAGTCCAGAGAATTTTGCCACAATTTTGGTGGCATTTACTAACTTAAAAAAAAAAGGAACTCCCTTTTTAATCGGAATATTAAACCCCCCTCCCCTCACTTCTAGAAGACTTGAAGGGTGAGACCTCTCAAAAATCCCCTGAACCAAATTTGAACACAGCCAACCTCATGTTAAATGATAGAAAATATCAGAAGCTCAAATAAGAGTTATTGTGATTCTCTATATATTTTTTCCTGTCGTTGTTAGCTTGTGATAGGGTCCCAGTTGTAGTGGAAACAACTGAAAGAGCAGGCAGGTGACAAAGCAGTGTTTCTTTAGTCAGTAAAAAGGCAATACTTCTTACAGGTTTATTCCCCCCTTTGCCTGACACTCTTTTTTCACGTGCTTGCTTTTTCAATGGCTTCCCTTGATCAAGAAACTGGCCCAGGCTATACACCAAATGCAAATATGGTGTCCAATTTGAATTACCATTGTTCTGGACTCTCTAACCCCTCACACATGTGATAATCCCTTTGTGTTTCCCCATGAAGAGGAGGCTAGTGAGTCCAGAACAATGGCAATTCAAATCGGACACCATATTTGCATTTGGTGTATTGGGAGTCCTACATAGAAGAAGCCGTGTGAGCCAAGCACTATAACCTATAGGTACCACTGTATCATGAAATGTAGTACATGTACTTGTAAAAAAGTGTTAAAGTGTGAGCACTTTAATTCATCTTGATTCATTTATATGGTACAATTTTTATTGGCCAACATGTAATCAAGGCTTCACCATCCAAAAATTCCGCTTAAGAGCAACCATTGGCAAACAGGAAGCTCACAAAATACATCATGGTGAAGTTCATTATACAGGAAGTAGAAACCACAAAATGGCAATGCTAGAAATATTTCTTTGTATTGATCTGTCATTTTTATCTTTTCGATTTATGCATTTATGCATATTTCTGGTAGGAATCATGGTCTCAGTCATCCCATGCTGTCTTTAGAAAGGTGATTATCTTTGCATATCATGCATAGAAATTAAATTGTGTTGAAAAGCTTAAATGACATTGCTACTTTTTAGACGAAATTTGTGGGCAAAGATGAATAATGATGTTTTCCTTTCGTATGAATTTGTTACCCATCAGATAACGGAATATGCGACGTCTGTTATATTAAACCACTACACCCCAAGTGATCCGATGTCTCAAGTGAGAGGCTTGTTGGTAAGTTTTTTGTCTGGCATTAGTTGTGAGAATTGAGCAGTTTACTAAGTAGAATACTTGCTGATATCTATAGTGAAACCAATTCACAGCTTGAACTCAAGCTGTTCTTCAGGTGTAATTGCTATCAACTGAGTCGACGACGCTTGAAGTTCTCTGGAGAGCTTTGTCGTCAGACCGAAACCATATTGATATCAACTGCTTGTAAAAGGCAAAGAAAATTGATATAACGAGGAGCCACTTGTAAATGTTGTGTTGCGAGTGAAAAGAAGGATACTTCCTGAAGCGCACACTCTCAAGATTGCTCTATCGCTACAGAAACGAAATTAGTGTGATCGTTTTAATTTTGTCCTTCAGAAATGGCTGAACAGCTTTCAAGCTCTTTTCTCCATTAAGTGTGTCGGCTGTGGCTTTCACTTAAAGGAGGAGGCAGAAAATGTCTTACTTCCCCCTTGCTGGCGAACATTCGAAGATTTATCACCATACCATTACCAATGCAGACCTTAGTCACTCTACTGTTAGCTGTACTAGCATTCGCGCAAGTTGTTGTGCTGAGAAAAAAATGGGAAAGATTTTTAAGGAAAGATGCCGTTTGTGCAAGGTTCACGCAAAACTGGCCAACAGTTGTCAAAACGATAGCGCGTGGTTGGTTAAACAGTGCGACAAGATTGGCGCACGATATGTACGAGATTTGCTTGGGCTCGATTCCAACCTGGGTCACTTGGCTGCGGTTTGCTATAGAAGAGAGTGAAACTTCGAACTGCCCTCCTTTGACTACTGTTGGTTACCGTCTTGTTGACTCAAGATCTCCAGATGGAAATCCTGTATAGTGTTCATTTTGTCAAAAGGTGAAGAGTAGTCAAACATTAGTCTATTAAATCGTGAATGCAGTACGTTTGGCAGGAATTGGCACAATTCTAAATCCAAATCACGTAAATGACAAATTTCGAAATGACAGAATTTGATTGTGGTTGAAAGATGATGTATTGCTTTTGTTTCTGCCCTGAAACAAAGAATTTTGCACGTGAAAACAGCGTAGCTCAATGTCTAGAACACTATCCTTTAAATCTGGTGGTGCCGGTGTGGTGGTGTGATACTTAAGTTCCCATCCTCGGTAGAATGAACATGCAGCACCAAATACCTTTAACGAAGTCTCCGGAAGGCACAATCTGCAGATTGGTGATTTAGACGATATCACTCAGTGACAAACTGATGGCCTTGTTTAAAAAAACTCTGAATATTTTCATTCAAAAGGACGTAGAAATGTAGGGTAGAAATGTTTCAAGATATTCCTTTCGTTAAAAGTGTAACAGCTGAATGGTATTTGTGCTAAACTTTTTCTTCTCGCGTAAATAATTTTGGGGTAATGGTAAGCTATTATTCTACAGTAAAGATATGAGCCTGTCTCATTGCTAAGATTTGAAAAACTTAAAATTTATGCCAATTCCATCAATCGCTGTCGATTGCTGTGCGTTTTAGATATGTCGAACTTAAAAACTCTTAATTAAAAAAGTAATACCAATAGTGATAATGATAATAATGATAATAATGATAGTGATGATAATAATAATAATAATAATAATGATGATAGTAAAGATAATAATAATTCAGACTGCATTCGTTTAAAACGCTAAGCAACAAAACGTGCGAATTTTATTGTGCTGAAAAGGTTTTGGAAACAGAAAGATTGACAAATGTCAAAAGATCGCCGTTACCGTTGAGAAGTGTCGGCCGATCGCACATCATGCTATTGTTGGAAATGTTCAAAAAAGGGTCCTCACCGTTAGAACTGGCGTCGAGTAAATTCTACAAAGGTTTTATGTTTTGTAAAAGAAAAGAGAACACAAGAAATCAACCTGAGTAACAACTAAGCAATTTCGTCATCGTACGAACGACTGAAACATGCCTTTTTTGTAGGAAATGCTGTAATGACACGAAAAAGTCGCTACCTTACACGCAAATGTAACGTACCCTAACTATCTTAGATGATTTTATAGGTGGGTGATATGGTAAAAAAAACGTAATTGTTCTACTAGTGGTGGGAGGAAGTTTGATAGCATTCCACAGACAAAAAAGATCATATCAATTATACCATTCCTGCACAAAGTTATGGGGACAAAGTCTAAAATGTGGCAGTTTTTTATTCTTTCCATAGCTCTTTCAACATGGATTCTTAGAGATGGAATCCTTCTTGTTTCCAGTAATTCACTTTCATTAAATTGCCCAGATTCATTCATGAATGGAGGAACATTTACTTCTACCCCTTTAAATGCAAGTATTTCTTGAATATTAAAACCTCTATCAGCCATGATAACATCACCATACTGTAGTTTCTCTATAAGGCCTGACTTTTGGGTTAGTTCCTTGTCAGAAATGCTACCACCATACAGGGTTGAAACAAATGAAATCCCCCCTTTTGGTACAATACCAACCAAAGCTTTCAGGGTGTTGTGATTTTTGTATGAAGAAAACGTTACTTGTTGAGCCTCTGGGTTGTTTGGCTTTTCAATGTATATCTCAGTAGCATCAATTATTAGAGTAGTTGTTGAATACTTTTTGCGAAAACATTCAGGTAGGTGTAATTGAACAATCTCTCTGGAAGGAAATACATCAAGTTCTTTGAATCTAAAGAAAATAAACTTGATCCAGGTATTTACAATTTGGGATACTACACTTTGGCACACTCGAAATATAGCTGATAAGTCTTCTTCTAGTTAGCCAACTTTTAAACGACAAAGGACCAGAAAAAATTCATTCTCGACACTCAAAGCCCAACTAGGCCCAGGTTTATATTTGTGCTTGATTTCTCCTAAATCTTCTGTGTTTTGGTAGTCCAAGTGAGCCGTTGTCGCCCTCCCCAGAAAGTCAAGAACCATTGAAAACACCTCATAGTTCTCAAATCCAGTGTGAAATCGTAATAATTTATCATTATCCTTGACAGTTTCGATGCTGAAGGCTTTCTCCTCGATCAATAATTCCAGCTCCTTCCTGGCGCTTCTTTCCTCCTCAAGTTGATTTTCCAGCTCTTGTATTTTTTTGTTCAATTTGCTCTCCTTAGTTTGCCATGTCTCAAGTAAAGATGACATTTCGTCATCCTTTATCTTAAGTTGGTGTTCCCAGTTTTCATCTCCAGTTTGAACTAAACCTTCACTTTCTAGATGATCAGTTTCTATACCATCTGAACCGGATTTCAAATCCGTGTGTTCAATGTTAATCGATTCGGAGACTGAATGCTGCTGCGATTTCTCTNCTAAGGGCCTGATTACATGAGCCGAGCTGGCCCGGTTAGCCGGGCTGATTTCTTTTGTTTTCACGCTTTGGCGAACAACAAAACAAAAGAAATCAGTCCGGCTAACAGGGCCAGCCCGGCTCATTTAATCAGGCCCTAAGGGTCTACTAGAATTACTGGCGAATACTTTAAGTAAGGTCAGCCACCCTTGGTTATGCAAAAATGCTGTAGAATATAGAATATTTTCCAATTATTCTAGATAACCCCTAAATTGCCTGGTGCTTCAAAACAGCAATTATCTTCATAACGCAGGGTCACTTAAAGCCCATGAATTGTATTTTTCTTGCCTTCTGCTGTTTTCTATCGCTGCAGCATAGCTCGGTAAATGGTTCGTAAAATCTGTGATCAGTAAAATGTTGGTTTAACTTCTAAAGGCGATGTACAAATGCGAATCTCGCACTGTTGATGGCGTATCAAATACGACCTAGTCTTGACGGAAACCTTGTCGAAGAGTATTAATGCACTACAACAGAATTATATGTTTCAGTTTATTAAAAGGCTCTGTAGAATGTCAAAAGAGGGCTAATGTATTTGTATTTAATGGAGATTTCTTAGATATCTAAACCTTACTCAAAGTCCAGGCAACTTTAGAGATCTGTAGTATCCACAATAACCTTCAGGAACATAACATCGTCCCTTACATAGGCGTGGTTATTTAACTCCGANCAAAACATTGGACACCCACTAGCGATGTTTGATTCCCTTCGTGGCCTTTGGAAAGATGAGCTGTTTGGATCGGGTCTGAAAGCATCGACCACGTGCTCTACGTTATCCTGATCCAACAACATGAAGGTCACCTTCTGTCTGAATGGCCAGCGGAGTAACGCATCGTAGTCTCCACGCATGACAACAAAGAACAGCGAAAGATGGGTTCCTTTACCCATTCCGTCGCCATTCAAGTAAAGTCGTGCACACATTTTGTAACCATGCTGACTGGTGTAAAAGCACGGGCTATACATTGACACCTGTCGCCCATTTATCGCATCATTTCTTTTGCGTACAAAATCTGATATTTTCCAGAGTAAGATCCCATTATATGTAGAGACTTGCTGCTGTTGGACGTGTTCTTCGATGTCCGATAAAACAACATTTCTGAGCGTCAAATTGTGTTCCACAGACTCCATTCTTCGTTCTAGTCGTCTAATACTGTCCATTGCACCATCTATTTGGCGTTTAACGGACAATACTTCTTGTCTCACTTCGGTCAACTCTCGCCTTGTTTCGTTTACCAAGAACTCGATGTTATTGGTGCTATTTTCAGCGTTTGTGAGACGTCGGGAAATCTCGTCCGACATGGGATGTGGTTGTAACGAAGAGAAAGTTGCCGATTGTGGTAACTGGTCTCTATGGGTTGAAACTCTTTTTTCAATCGAAACCAATCTCCTAGAATTATTTTCTAGCTTTTTTCGCAAATCGGTTTGCTCGCGTACCACTGTGTCGATGCTAGATATGGCGTTAGTGATGGTCATCTCGGATCGCCTCATCCACTGATCAGAGGTGTCTACACCCCATGCGCCACCCATAGAGAACTGACTCTTCACTTGCTCCTCCAGCCGAAGGACATACGTCAGCAGTAGATTGATATGGAAGGTCGCACTCAGCTCATTATGTTTCTTGGCCTCGGATAGCTTCATTTTCTGTTAGTAATGAAGTTTAAGTTTGATCATGGAGTTATAGGCCGTGCCGTAGGTCATGGTTCACATGTATAAGTAATTTGTATTTAGGGATATGTTGTAATATTACAAGGGTGTCGGACAAAGGATTTTAAAGAGTCGAGTTAAAGTCCCTGTCATTGCCATTTGACCACTTTTTCAGCGTCTTAACCAAATCAAGATCCCAACTAGGGATTCACAATGGTATTTCCACGGCATAAGAAACGATTTTTTTGGCGTACCAAGCTAGTACAGAAATGTGAATTACGAACACGTTAAATTTTGGTGTACTCGACCCTTCTGAAGGAGCGTTATTATTTGAGCGATTTTAGATTGACTTAGTAACTTTAAATCATGTTAGGATACCAACCTCTCTTTCACCGCAACCAATCTGATGAAATGCACAGGTCCTCTCGACCGCTTCACAGTCACCATGGATAGGATTAACATGGTTTTCCATCTGGATTGATAGAGATTAAGATCAGGTAAACAAATCAGGCTAACTCGATGGTCACAGCCTGATGTAGTTAATACATGAAAACATACATTTTGAAACTAAAAGTAGGTTACCAATATGCAATTCTCAAATTTATCATTTAGCATCGACAATACATTAACGAAAGCGAAACATCTGGGAAATAGATAGTACTCAAACGTGGTCACCTCTCCGCGCAGAATTCCTTCTTTGCCACAGCCACGACATTTTACAGGAGACATCTTGCAATACTGTGCTTGATGAGTCTAAAAGCACGCAAAGAACGATAAATGAAATTCAACGCAAAGTCACCCCACTCAAAAAACAAAAAAACAGAATTAAAAACCAACAAACAAACAAACAAAACAAGGGAAGTGGTATCTTCATTGATGTGGTATCCATTAGTCCAAATCCGAATTTGTATTGCCAACTAGTACTACCACGCTTTCTCTAGATATGATAAGCTGATCATGGTTTGGAGAAAAGACAATAATTAGCTCTCTAACACAGGCAACAGTCCAGCAAACTGTAAAATAATATTGAGGTCGATTTTGTGAGGTTTTATGCTGTTTGATAGGAAATTAAGAGCAACAGCCATAGTCACGATCTTGCCTGCAGCCTGACACATAGTCTCCTTCACAGCCGTTGTTTGGGCTCGTCACGCAACGCTCCCTCCCCCACCAACCGGCTGCTTAAACCCGAGCCGCATTCCTTTCCCTGGTTTTAGCCAATCACGATTTCGCTCATGTAATGCTGAGTAAGTCCCGCCAAGACTAGCCGTCCAATCAAAACTCGTGTTCTATCAGCGGCTCTGATTGAGCAGAGAAAATGGCAACTCTCGAAGAAGCTTTTGTTTCGACCGCTTCCAAATTGAAAATTCCAAGTTTAAATGATCCCCAGAAGCCAGCAATTAAGAAAATTCTTTTGCAATAAAAAGATGTATTTGTAAACCTGCCTACAGGGTTTGGAAAATCCTTGATTAATCAGGCTCTTCTACTCGTGTGCGATCACATCAACAATCTTGCTGGGCATATCGTTGTTATTGTTTCTCCGCTCGTAAGTCATATGGAGGATCAGGTCAATTACCTACAAAGTATTGGAGTCAGCGCGGTAAAAATTAGTTCCCAAGAAGAGATTGACCGCCTTAGTATTGAGTATGGAAAATATTCGTTAGTTTTCGGCTCACCAGAAGCGTGGCTCAAGAATGATCGTTGGCGATCGTTGCTAGGAAATGATGTATACCGTGCGAGGTTGTGCTGTGGCTATCGATGAAGCACATGTTTTAAGACAGTGGTAAGTCAAGAACCAACTCCTTACTTCTCTTAACGTGCCATTTTAGCTTCGTCTTATGTTATTTAAGTTATATATTTTCCTTTTACAATTAAGTCGAGTGGTAAAGAATAGGCATGTTTTCTTACTTTCTCGAGGTCATTTCCAAAGCAGATGTGATAGACGTAAGCTTAATTTTACTTCATGTTTTGCGTTCAAAATCTTGTGATTTATGTAGAGAAATATACTCGTAGTCATAACAGACGGTACTTTAATGGTGAACTGTAGTCGTGGAAATGTATGATCATATAGGCGTTATCGTGTTCACAGTCCTGTCAAAGAGCTCTTGTTCACCGACATTATTCCTGTCAAAGAGCTCTTGTTCACCGACATTATTCCTGTCAAAGAGCTCTTGTTCACCGACATTATTCTCCTCATCCGTTGGGTTTTTCTCTTGTATTGAAGACCTCTTCTATTTCTTTCTTGATTTCTTTCAGTTTATCCGATGCCTTCTTAAACTTTATCAAAAGCTGGTAGCATTTGTCTCTACATACAAACAAACAATTTGCTGTTCTCCGCCTAGCGATGCAGGTCAACAGTGAGCGAAGAACGAATTAGTTCAGCAACATCAAACGAACTTTTACCGAAAATGTAAATTTTATCCTTTGTGAGTGAAATCGAGGAACAAATGAAGCATCTTGAACTACTTTCTACCAATTTCTTGGGAGTTACATCCCTGGGAAATTCTTGAGATGACTGGCAACTTCTCCAGAAAGCGCCGATGAATTTACGCGGGAAACTTATGTCATTGAAATTTAATTGGTTTTATCGTGAAATTAAAGGCGACGTGTGATTGGTACAAACGCGCATTATGACGTGCAGTCACCGTGAAATCTAAACAAAGGGAAAGGAATGCGGCTCGGGTTTAAGCAGCAGGTTGGTGGGGGAGGGAGCGTTGCGGGACGAGCCCAAACAACGGCTGCGAAGGAGACTACCTGACACACACCGATGAACATTTTTACGTCGATGATGAGAACTAAAGTTTGAAAGAGGTGTAGTTGTGTTTGAAGTGTCTCTAAATAGGGCCGAACTGACCTTAAGGACAGCAGGAGTCATAGAGTCACCACACGAAGGGCAAAGTAGGATACGATAGGGACACTCATGTGCCTGATGTCGATGTAGTTCGGATCTTTTCACGCGTTCGTGGCAGTTGGAATTGGAACAGTTTTCTTTTTCTTCAGCGCAGGACGAACGGTGTTTCTACTTGAAAACGGGAGAGAGAGCAATTTCTCGTACCCTGTTTTCCTCTTGAACTTACTAATATTTGAACTTTCTTTACGTTTTGTAGACTAATGTTTTTTCCTGAAGTGATCCGATCATCTTGCCTTATGAAACGGCACCGAATCTAAAACTTAACAGTCTTACTCAAAAGAAGAAATTGGAAAAAACGTAAACATAGTTTAACACTTTTTCGGGGGAAAATATATTTAGTAGCTCTACCACACGTTACACGGCCGCTCTTTGGCGCAAGCTCTATCTCTACTTCTACGCACTCTACATGTAAATGCTCGGGGTTTTTATTGGCTGTGGTTGCTGTGACTAGGTCTCCTTTTGACCTCAATCAATCAATCAATACTTTATTTACCCACGTAGCGTCTAGGAGCTCATACAGCTCGTTCCTACCTCAATGTGTCTTACTTCTCCTTTCCATTTACAGCCATCAGGTGAATTTGGACACTCCACGACTAGAGAGAGAACTTCGCGTTTCATAAAGTTGTCCGGGAATATCTTTAAATGACATCAAATCAATGCATCGTTAGTCCTTCTACATGATCAAAATTATTACTCAGGAAAGACTCGCTGGTCAATAGGTTGAACTGAGATAAAATTATGAACTTCACTTTACTTGTTTACCAAAAGTATTCATTAGTGTTGTAATGAGATCAGATTTAATACATAACATAATCATGTTTTAGGCCTGTTAAATCCGATCCTTTAATTAAACAGGATGGAAAGCGATCCTAAAGGACACAGCAAGGCATTATGGTAGAATTCACGTTTCGACTTGACTCACATTCGTGCTTTCTTGACACGGGATGAGTGTGTCGGGCAACTGAGCTACAAAGGAGCAGGGTTGAAGTGTTGTTATACTCACCTGATCCGCTGAGAATAGCGATTTGTCAACAACGCAGATGAAGTCCCCATCAACCCTGTACAATACGATAGAAATGTTATCCGGAAATGGGAGCATGATGAGAATTTTTATCGTATCTGGGTTTTTTATTTGATGAGTAGAAGGTAGAATGGCGGGCTGATAGTCATAGAAAATTGATGCATGTAATTCTTTTGATATTCGGGGGACATTGCAAACCAACCCCACTTCCCTCCCTCCCCTCCACTAACTCACTGTTCACGCAATGACCCTTCAGAATCACGTTTGTTTTGTTTACATCTGCTACCTAACATTTCGGTAGACGTTTCATGCAGCTATTCGAAAGATTGCAAAGTTAGCGTGGTCCTGTAAAATTAATATCGTGATCCAAAAAAAAGAAAAGAAAGACCTCAATTAGACGACGAAATGTCCAATTACCGTTTGAGATCTGTAATGCAGGAGTTGCAATAAACATGGCCACAGCCTGTCTGGACAGGATCTTTGAGGATGTTGTTGCACAGCGAACACAGATAGCGAGGATCAACTTTACCGTTCACAGATAGTGTAAACCGAGGCATTTGGACAGTTATCAGTGCAATATCTGAATGGTTACGCGTAATCGCTCCCTGAAACAAAAATGGAGATTTAATTACTCGGCAAAAATGAATAAACAATGGACTGACCTTGGTCCTTGTAGAGAAATAGAAAGAATCTCGATCTTTTAAAAACGATAAGTAAATATTTTGCATTTGCACTGCAAACATTCCATTTTTCATTGAAAACGCAATACGAGGATATTATTTTGGAGAAGGTATGGTAACGGCGTAATTAAGTTGAAGCGATCAATGATTTCCTTGTAATTGCTTGTCGAACGGTAATAGTTGCACGCGTCGCATGCAGGTATGCCGATCTTTAATTGTTATCCAACTGATAACATAGCCAGTTTTTAGGATTAGAACATTTTCTGTATCAGACAAATAATGTCGCGTTTACTTTATCAAACATTGAAGGCAAACTGAAAGTGAATTCGAAACTGCATCAGTGCATATCGTACGTCGATATTGTAGCCTCGCGTGCATTATTTGCATGAAACCTTTAAATAACTTTAAAGGTAATTTTTTTTTCAGAGTCTAGGTTTAATATGCTGTCAGTCATTCTTTACATTCGTTGCCATTGAGAATGGAAACTCTTAATTTAAGGACGAGACTGATTTTGTCTTTAGTCTTTTTTAGTTACATGCTGCTACAACTTCTGCAATCAGAGTTACCGGGGTCGTGAGGTGAGAGAAACAGAGACCGAATTGTCATGGAGTTTAGGAGTGTAACTCACAAGCTGTTTGCGATCGCCTCGTTAGCTTGTTTGTAATAGGTATTTGGCGAAAGTTCTTTACTACAGTTTCTCTTTGTAAGGCACAGAGAATAGCTTTTGGGCCGAATTCCAAGAACACAGTCGCTGCACAATGACCGACTGTTTACTTCGTCTGCTCGCTATTCTGCTTTCTTTAGTTCTGTAAGACACACTGACGACGAAAGTTGTTGTTTCTTTTCCAGAGTGGCTGTTGTAGAGAGGCACACTAAGAAATCAAACTCACGGAGTAAGACGAACGGATGAATATTAGGTCCGTTCAAGAGACAAATTCTTTCTCAACTCAGACACTTACTAACTGTCCTACCCTTTGTCAACGAGTACTCAGCTTTGATCAGTTGAATTCCTCAAAATTGATAAATACCTATACGCAGTTGCCAATTTCTGCCCTTACATTTCCACGTTGAGATACTTTAATGCATCGTGAACTTGCATAGTTCAGGGATGCAGCTCTGTTGTCAGAAAAAACATCTATCGGGACAACATTCGCTACTATGAACGACAAATTGCACTTACATGCCAAGGAAAGTGAGTGATGGCCTCAAAGGCAGTGTTTAAAGACGTATGTTTCTCCCTGCTCACCTCTAAACTTTAGATTTTCCTTGCAACCGTTCTTCTTCCCTCCGCATACCTTTAAACATTCGTTTATTTTGGTATCTGTTCCCAGTCTAACTATAGGGGGGACCCCCCTGAAGTGACCCTTTAGATACTAACTGGTCCACTGCTCTATGAAACTACTTAATACAATATTGCGGCAGCTTGACTGACTAACTACAGTCACGATTTCTTTCAAAGCTTAGTGGGAATGTTTTATCCCGACGTGACAAAGATAGATGATTCATTCTGGCGATAATCTATGCAAACCTATAGTCGGCTTGGTGATGTACCGGTATAACCAAGCGGTAATAAGAAGCAGGATTCTCACGTGAACACTTTTACTAACCAAACAAAAATTGCATAATGTTGCTAAGGTCACACATACAAGATATCCGGTAACATTTGATGATGTACTGGTATAACCAAGCGGTAATAAGAAGCACGATACTCGCGTGAGCATTTTTACTGAACCGACAAAATTTGCTTAATGTATGCTAAGGTTACATAAACAAGATATGCGGCACCAACTGATATGGCACATTTAGTGAACTATCTTTGCATTATCTGACTATTAAATTTATACGGAATCAACAACTTGGTCAGAAGGTAAACTTTTTTAATACGCTCACAGTTTTGATGGTTTATGCCGTACACAATACAATTAACTCTTTTACTGGTGTTTACCTTAATTAAATGGTATGTTAGTTAGGAAGTGAACCATAAACTCCGTCAGATAATCCCAGCTATAGCATGTTTCTAGTTAAGTTTTCCACGAATGATGTCTTTAAAAGTCTAATGGCCTCAAGGCTATGATTAAAGACCAATATTTTTCCCCTTCTCGCGTCTAAATTTTTCACTAAACTCTAGGTTTTCCATCTAAATCTTTCTCTTTCTTTCGCATGGTTTATACCTTTGAACATTTGTGTATTTTGACGTCCAAGTGCAGCGGGGAACCCTCAAACTCTTTTGACACTAAAGAGTATTATTGTGGCCTTTTTCATGGTTGATAGCAAAAATTTTCATAATGTATGCAAACATTATTATTTCAGTGAGTCACTCTTAAAACCACATCTTAAGTATGTGTACACGACTTCACGTCAATGAGCGACGATATAAACAGTCACAAACATTTTCAAAGCTAATTTTCCCCATGTGATAAAGATCGATGATTCATCCTAGCGATAATCTATGCAATAATCTATTCAGATTGATTATGTACTGACTGCTTTGAATTTTCTAAATTCCTTGAATTTATTTATCATGAAATGCAATACTCCCAATTATTTAATATACAACAGAAAACTTTACAGTAAACATTGCTGAAAAAGACTGCTCTGAATTTTCTGAATTCCTTGATTCCGTATCTTATAAGGATCATGGAATGTACGGCTGTACTGCTCTGCTTTCACGGGAACTCCACACGGAAAGGTTAGCTGGAACAGTTCTATTGTACTTTGACACAACCTGCCGAGCCATGTATTTAGAACAGTCAGAGCGTGAGTAATTGAAAAAAAATAGGTATATGAAACAATGCCGCACGTGGTTAGCGTACATCAATCTTGCAACAAGCGACCAATCAAACACATTCAGTGCGTTTATATTGTACGGGGAGGTTAGTTGGTGCATCAGTGCAGTTCCTCTACTAAAGAAAATTTGCTGAACTTGAAGAGAAGCACGACAGCCACTGCCCCTCATACTTTCGTCAGAGGTCATGCTCATTAATCGTCACGTTTTCAGAAGGATATCCCGATGTTTAATGGAAATTGTAGGAGTGTGTTTTTCGTTATTTTCATCGCTATACCAGTTTTTCCTCGGCCTGAAGGATCAGAATAAACCAGAAGCTGTCGAGCATAATTGGTTTGAAGGTAAGAGCACCTCAGTTTGGATAGGCGACGAATGATCAAGGGATTTTAAAATTATTTTCAAGTCATTGATTTCAGTAAAAAAACGATGAATCTTTATCTTCTTCGCCGCGAGAAAGGAAAGGAGAGCGGCTTTCCTCTATCACGCAACCATATGCAAATTTTTTGCGTAACTACCTTCTACTTCTCAACAGATTACTAGACAAATTCTTAAAATGTTACAAAAGAGTTTGATACACCTCATACATTTGCTCCTTTTTTTCATTGTTAGGCACAAATCCAGTTCAGAGCACAGAGTATGTGGCAGATGACGCTCTGGTTTAGAGAAAGAAGATATAAACGCTGACAAGAGTGAAACAACAATGATTGGTGTCGTAAATTGTTAAAAACTCAATTATGGAACGTTTTAAGAAATATTTAGTTGACTAAGACGTCATTTGGAGAATTGATTCAAAACTAGTGGATGCAAAAATTTTCACCGACAATTCCTTATGGAAAACTGTTCGTCGGCGATGTTTTTCAGTGATTCAGTAAACCAGCATCCATGCATGTGTGCCGTTCATGCATTATTTATGATTTTTACTCAAGGCTCGATAATTTCGAAACGTAAGTGAGCATGTCACGGTTGTTTTGAAGAACTAATCAGTGAAAATAAATTAAGTGTATTTGGTTAAGGTTTGAATCCAGCCTTAGAGAGTATTGTAGTAGTTTGAGTTAGGCTTACTCACCTTTGACAGCAACATTAGGGAGTTTAAGCAAATCACTACGGCTGGCGCTGCTACGGCTACCGGAAGTAAAGTTGTCCAGAAACGAGTCAATGCGCATGTCAGTGGTACCCATCCAGCCGTAGCGGGAAATCCTTCTACGCGAGTGGGAAGGTTTCGGCGTAGTCTGTGGTACGTGAACTTATCTCGCTTCTTTCTTCGCTGTATTCATTCTCCTGAGCAATTTTAACTATTGAAATACACTTAACATCTTTAAAAATAGCTTATCGGGAATATTTATCAAGCTTGCTGTCCCTTACCGAGTGAATCTGCCTTTATTTTTGCAGCCGAGTTTGTCGAAGGATCGAAGCAGTGTGCACATGGAGAACGCAGCGAACGCAAGGAGAAATGCGTTAGTAGAAAGTCTAACTTTTCCTTTAAAACCTCAAAGACTACTTGAAATTCAAATAGCTGAAG